CATATTGTCCATAGTATTTGTTATACCAAAAGTGAGTAAAAATCCTGCTCTTGTTTCCTTCTGCTTACAGTGGTTTCCTAGGTAACTTATAAATTTTCCCCATTCTTTTATAAAGTTTTTATCCTCTTGGTTTCTGAATTTTCCAGTCAGCTTTTCCATCTCGGCATAGTCCATCAACTTGGCTGCCATTCTTCTCTGGTAGGGACTTTTATCTTCTTTCCAACTCTGGGCTAATAACATTCGGGCAGCCACAGCAATTGGATTATTACATAAGTAGCACACACTTTGTACATAATAGCACTTTATGCAGGTCTCTGTCCTGTAAAAGGTAAAGGTAAAGGGACCCCTGACCATTAGGTCCATAGTGGCCGACTGGGGTTGCGGCGCTCATCTCGCTTTATTGGCCGAGGGATCCGGCGTACAGCTTCCGGGTCATGTGGCCAGCATGACTAAGCCGCTTCTGGCGAACCAGAGCAGTGCACGGAAACGCCGTTTACCTTCCCGCCAGAGCGGTACCTATTTATCTACTTGCACTTTGACGTGCTTTCGAACTGCTAGGTTGGCAGGAGCAGGGACCGAGCAATGGGAGCTCACCCCGTCGCGGGGATTCGAACCGCCGACCTTCTGATCGGCAAGTCCTAGGTCGGCAGTATGAATCTGTCTTGAGGGTCTTGCAATTTCAAATGCAACACAGGGAAGACAGTGGGTGAGCAGGACGGTGTAGAGGATAATGCAGGAGAATAATGTGCATACATTTAAGTTGAGGTAGTTCCAGCAGGGCACAGCTAGAGCATCTAGCCAGATGTTGTTGGGTTACACCAGGTGTTAGAGAACCTTTGGTCCTCTCCTCCAAAAGCCTCTGAACAATAACTCCCATCAGCCCCAGCCAGTATGGCCAATGACCAGGCAAGATGGGAGTTGTCGATCAGCAACATCTGGGGGCTCAAAGGTTCCTCACACCTGGTTGTATCCTCTGTCATCAGCCCTAGCCAGCATGGGAATGAAAGAATTGCAACTTTCTCAAGGAAGAGATGCTGTGGTAGACAAAGCTTCACCTTTGAGTGTCTGCCTGTTGCACAGCTGTTTAAGACACAATATGCTTTTATTCGAACCTGTGAAGCTGTTGTCTATATCTCAAGCTCGTTCCAAGCTCCACTGCTCAAGATCTTCTCATGTGGAGATGCTACAAATCAAACCAGGGTTCATCAACATAACAAGTCTCTGCTATAGGGCTCTTCCCAACGTGGAACACAGAATCAGACCCTAAGAAGATCCCTAGTGAATTGGGCCAACAGGCCATCTAGTCCAGCATTCTGTTCTCACAGTGGCCAACCAGAGGCCTGTTGGAAGACGACAAGCAGGACCTAAGAACTCTCCTCTTTCTGACAAACAGTGGAGGCAAAGCATAGCCATCAGGGTTAGGCACCACTGACAGCCTTCTCCTCCATGAATTTGCCTTTTCTAAAGTCTTCCAATGCTTTTGAATTATGGTGCTGGAGGAGACTCTTGAGAGTCCCATGGACTGCAAGAAGATCAAACCTCTCCATTCTTAAGGAAATCAGCCCTGAGTGCTCACTGGAAGGACAGATCCTGAAGCTGAGGCTCCAATACTTTGGCCACCTCATGAGAAGAGAAGACTCCCTGGAAAAGACCCTGATGTTGGGAAAGATGGAGGGCACAAGGAGAAGGGGATGACAGAGGACGAGATGGTTGGACAGTGTGAGTTTGACCAAACTGCGGGAGGCAGTGGAAGACAGAAGTGCCTGGCGTGCTCTGGTCCATGGGGTCACGAAGAGTCGGACATGACTAAACGACTAAACAACAACAACAACAACAAAGTCTTCCAAGCCGGCCACTGCCTCCATAGTTTAACTATGCACTGTATGAAGTGAAGAAGTTACTTCTTTTATCTGAGATTTTAAAACTCAGTGCACTTTTCAGAAGTCTCTTACTTCCCTTGGCCTCCCTTGGGGTCTGACCCTGGCCAAGCACTCTGAGAAAGTCAATATGGAGTCAGTACAAACTGCTTTAGCTAAGCCACCCGGCCACGGGCCTTTAAAATCACGAGTTAACATGACGGCGCATGTGATGATGGCCCAGGGAGCTGTCTTTTCCTCCTATCCAGCCTTGGTTTTCCCCCAGGTGCCTTTGTTCACTCGTTGGCGTGCTCTGCCTGTTAACAAAAGGCAGCCACATACCAGGCGAGCCTTTTCTTGCATAAGAATTGTCAAGAGGCGGGGCAGCGGTGGGGTGGAAGGATGCTTCCGTGCAAGCCCTCAGAGCTTGCTAGACTGTGCAATTTACTGCACCGAATCAGGGCGTTGGGCAATCTCTTATTTAAGATCCAGTTACAACCCTTTCCTTTCCCCCCTTTTTGAAAAAAGTGGTATAATACCTGTGTTTCATGCATCCCGGACTCCTTGCTATTGTATGCAAGCTCCAAATAAATTTTATGATGCTTCATAACCACTCCGATCGCTAGCTGGTTATTGCCAATTAACAAATAGATTGATAAATTAGCTGATGATGCGCCAGGTTCCAGTGCATACGCAGAACTCTATAGGCTTTAGAGTAGGTTAGGAGAATGCATTAATTTCTCTGGATTTTCCACGTACATAGGAAAACGTACTATGGAGCAGGGAAGCTTGTGGGATTCCCCTTTCCACACCTTCCTCCATTCATGTCCTGTCCCTGCCGTCCCCGCCATCACCCTGCCCAGCTGCCACTTTGCTCCTCATCCCATGACTGAGCTGGCTGGCAGTGTTGCATATGTATACCCTGCTTATGGTTTTGGAGCAAACTTAATAGCAATGGAATAGCCTCTTTTCCTAGGTGGGAAGCTGCTCTTTCCAACACACTCACGCTCTGCCTATGCACCCCTTTTTGCTCTCGCATGGAGGGAAACCCCCAATTTTTTTTTTTAATGAGACCTAACCACCTGTTTTAATGAGACCTAACCACCACAGCGGGTGGCGCCACAGAGCCTAGGACTTGCCGATCAGAAGGTCGGCAGTTCGAATCCCCATGATGGGGTGAGCTCCTGTTGCTCGGTCCCTGCGCCTGCCAACCTAGCAGTTCAAAAGCATGTCAAAGTGCAAGTAGATAAATAGGTACCGCTCCGGTGGGAAGGTAAACGGCGTTTCCGTGCACTGCTCTTGTTGTGCCAGAAGCGCCTTAGTCATGCTGGCCACATGACCCGGAAGCTGTACGCCAGCTCCCTTGGCCAATAAAGTGAGATGAGCGCCGCAACCCGAGTCGGCCACGACTGGACCTAATGGTCAGGGGTCCCTTTACCTTTTAACCACCTGTAGATTTAAACTTCATTTCTGAATAAACACACAGAGCCCAATAAAAGTCCATTTACACAGGATTGCAACTCTGCTCTGCCAGGTGATCCTCAGATTTTTTTTAATCCAATTTTTAATTCTTCCTAGCCTGTACTTTTTTGCTGATAGCATATGGGGGGGGGGGTTTCACTGGGAACACATCAGGAAAGGGAAGAGCTAATCCCTGCCTCCCATCACACCACTGTTCCCATCTGCAAGGCTTGACATATCAGGTTCAAACTTGAGAGACAGTACATAAGCAGCCATCCAGGAGCAACATCAGGCTACCTGCACAGGGTAGAAAGAGTAAAGCTGAGCACTAAAATACAGTTTTTGCCTCACATGTAGTCTGCACCCCAGAATCTAGATATGATTCCTGCATTGCAGGGGGTTGGGGTCAGCTAACGTTTTCAGCAAGGGGCCGGTCCACTGTCCCTCAGACATTGAAGGGGCTGGACTAATTTTTTTGGGGGGGGGGAATGAACGAATTCCTATGCCCCACAAATAACCCAGGGATGCATTCTAAATAAAAGGACACATTCTACTCATGTAAAAACATGCTGATTCCCGGACCGTCCACAGGCCGGATTTAGAAGGTGACTGGACCGGATCCGGGCCCCGGGACTTAGTTTGCCTACCCATGGTAGATGACCCTTGGGATCACTTCCAACTCTTTAATTCTATGATTCTTTTGGCCCCTGAAGCTACACTCTTTATATTTTATGTATTTATTCAAGGATTATATTGAACCCCTGCGACTGTTACTCTGCTAAACATTTTGTAAGATGTCTGCAAATGGCGGCACTGTTTAAAATAAACAAAAAATTGCACACAAATGGACTACTGACTATTGCTAAATCAAGGACAAGGCAAAAACTTTTGAATAGTTTTCTTTGGCATTAGCTGAGAACAATACAGTGGTACCTCGGGTTAAGTACTTAATTCGTTCCGGAGGTCTGTTCTTAACCTGAAACTGTTCTTAACCTGAAGCACCACTTTAGCTAATGGGGCCTCCTGCTGCCGCCACGCCGCCGGAGCATGATTTCTGTTCTCATCCTGAAGCAAAGTTCTTAACCTGAGGTAATATTTCTGGGTTAGCGGAGTCTGTAACCTGAAGCGTATGTAACCCGAGGTACCACTGTAACTTTATAGACACTGCTCAACTACTATTTTTAGCAGCGGGATATCTTGCAACTTCAGAATTACAGAAGAGTTGAGAGCACTGCAGCAAACCCAGTCTTGAAGGTGTGTGAATCAGTAGAAAATCTTGTCTCAGTTGGGATAACTTGAGAGGCATTGCAACTGATGGTACAAGAAACTTGGTGGAAAGTAAAACTGGTGCAGCTGCAAGAATCAGTCAAGAGACAATGAAATTAAATGGCACACGTCCCATGCAATTTCACTGCATCATCCACTAACAAGCCTCCTGCAGTAAGATTCTCCCAGTGTGATGTATGTTGGTTGTATCCAGCGTTAATCACTTACGGCATCATGACCTTGATTACTGTCAGTTTCAAAAAAATTCTCTCAGAGAGAAAAACAGAATATGGAGATCTGTTGCTCCATGCAGAAGTCAGGTGGTTTAGTACTCCTCAGGTGGTATTTTAGTCTTTTTATGAAGTTGATGTCTTACTCATGGGCAGAATACAAGGTCGAGAAGTACTACTTTCTGACCCCAAATTGATTTTTTATTTGCCTTTCCTGATATCACAGAGCATCTGAATGCTTTTAATATAAGGTTGCAGTGAAAAGGAAAGCCTACTGCGTCTGACATATATTCTGAGTTGAAAGCTATGGAAGCAAAACAATTTTTATTTTATGAAGCACGTTAGTGAACATAGCTGTTCAAACTTTTCATGCAGGAACAAACAAAAATCTGAGAATGGGAATTCACAATTCCATGTTGAAAGATGGAACCTACTGCAGGTGGGGTTTCAGAACAGAATCACTGATTGTCAGAAGCACAGAAAGGAAATGATAACATTTCAGAATCCATTTGAAGTGGCACCAGAAGGTGCAAGTGAAGTTTTTTTTCAAGTGGAACTCGCTGATTTTCAAGCCAGTGTTTGCCTCAGAGACATAAACAAAATAAGAATTCTATGAAATACATTCTGTCAAATACATTACAAAACATTCTATCAGATACGTTACAAAAGCCCATCCCAATCTCTTGCTCAAATGGCTCTGCTTCCTAATTAATACGCAATTAGTACTTGGTGATCAAGATAACATTCTCAATGAATGAATAAACCACATGACCAGGTGCTAATTTATTCTCACATAGTCTGCAAGTCATCAAAAGAGAGAGAGCGGAAGCCTAGGTGGTTATTAAATAATGTTCTTATGAACGGTTGGGTAACTCGCCCTTATTCACCACCAAAATGGTGGCCCTCTTCTTTCTCAGAAGTTGAGCAAAGCCTAAGGAAGACCACCCAACAGGGAGGCTGGTGTCATGGATTCCCTGCACTGGCAAGAGATTGGACAACGTAACCTTTGAAGTTCCATCCAGCTCCAAGATTCCCTCCGCCCTCTATGGCAAAGGCTGCAATCCTAACCTCACTTACCCAAAAGACCCACAGAATTGTTATTATTATTTTATTATTTATATCCCGCCTTTCTCCCAGAATCAGGACTCAAGGCGGCTCACAAAAATTAAAGCAAACATGAATAAAACGCAGAAAGCTAACAACATATATAAAAGCTGATGCTTAAAAAGGATTTAAAATACAGCAAAGTTAAATGGATATAAAAACAAACCCATTAAAATACAGATAAAAACAGCACAGCACTCTTAAAAACCTTTTCTTAAAAGCAGCCAGTTCCCAATACCCTGCAGAAATAAAACAGTCTTCACCTGCAGGTGGAAGAAAAAGGAGCCAATCTGGTTTCTCTAAGAAGGGAGTTCCAAAGTCTGGGAGCCGCCACTGAGGTGGATTGACTAGAACTTAGTTCTGAGAAACAGGAATGGGATTACACTGGACAGTGGTACCTCGGGTTACGTACTTAATTCGTTCCAGAGGTCCGTTCTTAACCTGAAGCACCACTTTAAGCTAATGGGGCCTCCTGCTGCTGCCGCTCCACTGCCGTGCGATTTCTGTTCTCATCCTGAAGCAAAGTTCTTAACCCGAGGTACTATTTCTGGGTTAGCAGAGTCTGTAACCTGAAGCGTCTGTAACCCGAGGTACCACTGTACTTTTCTCTATGATGGTACAGTAGTTGCTGTTTCCTTATTAGTCCTTGCTTTATACTGGCCGGTTTTTAAATTATTGTCTATTGCTTTGAGCAGCTTATAGAAACAAACAAGAAGAACAGAAGAATTTAAAAGCAAATTATAGTGACACAGTTGTAGTTTGTTTTGACCCTCCTGATTGCAGATAAATATACAAAATTATTATTAATACTATTATTATTACTACAGTATTCTTATTCACTTGTTACCTCCACTGTTGGGAGGCAGTATGTATCTGAATGCCTGCTGCTGGGAATCAAAAATGGGGGGGGCGGGGAGCTGATGTTGCATTCAGGTCCTGCTTGCGAGCTTCCCCATGGGGCATCTGCGTGGCCACTGCGAGAACAGGATGCTGGGCCCTCTTTGGCCTGATCCAGGCCCAGCACGGCTCTCCCCGTGTTCTTAGTTGAGAGCGTTCCAAGCACTTCACACACATGGTTTTGCTCACAACAGCCCTGCAAGGTAGGCCTGCGTTGTCCTTCTCCTTCTTGTAGACAGAGGAGAGCGGGTGCCGAGAGCGCGAGTATCTCCTCCGCGAAAGAGGTCACGAGGTTAAGCATATTTAGAACTGGGAGGCTCCGAATCTCCTCGGATGCGCGCCATCATTTGCAATCACGAGCCCTGGACGCCGCCTTCTTCCTCATGACTCGGGGCTGAACTGCGGCGGAATGGAGCGGGGCCGGGCCACGTGGAGGGGCTTTCCCCTGAGCCGGCCTGGCGGGAGCATGTGACGCGCCCACTGGAGAGGCGAATGACACACCGAGGCCGAGGAACGACGCAGCCGGAGAGAGTGCGCCTTGCCTTGCGCAGCCGGTTTGCGAGGATCCCGTGACCCAAGAGAGTTCAACCACCTGCTGCGGATCCCGCTGAACTCTCACCTAATTTCGTCACCGCCCGAGCGCAGCATTAACCCCTTGCGCAGCGGCCTGGCCTGTCTCTGCAGGCTCTTCTCTGACGGCACACGAAAACCTGATCCAGGAAACGGAGTGACGGCCGGCGAGCGGGCTCACCTGCGAACCGCAATGCGGGAACCGCTTCAAGCAAGCGGCTGCGGAGGGAGTGGGGTGGGTGTGTTGCAGGAAGGAAGGAAGGAAGGGCCGTGGCTCAGTGCCTGTTTTGCATGAGGAAGGTCCCAGGGTCAATCCCAGGTGGCATCCTGGAAATGGCCCCCGCCTGAAACCCTGGAGAGACAGCAGTGAACCGTATAGAGCAGCGGTTCTCAATCTGGGGGTCCCCAGATGTTGTTAACTCCCATCATCCCTGAGCTCTGGCCTTGCTAGCTAGGGATGATGGGAGTTGTAGTCCAACAACATCTGGGGACCCACAGGTTGAGAACCGCTGGTATAGAGCAATGGTTGGGCTTGATATAAGGTGGCTTCCTGTAATGTCACTTCCCCCAAAGTCTAGTGCTCAAACCTCTACACCACACTGTCTCGGCCAAAGGACTCCTAAGCACCTTGCCCACATCCGCAGTGAGCAACAGGCATAGCTTGCCAAGGCCTCCTCCACACCATACGGTTAAATCGCTAAGATGCCACTTCAAACAGGCGGGGCTTGCTTCCCCCAAAGTATCCTGGGAGGTGTAGTGTGTTAGGGGTGCTGAGTGTTGTTAGGCTGCCCTTCTCACAGAACTACAGTTCCCAGAGTTCCCTGGGAAGAGGGATTGCCCGTTAAACCACTCTGAGAATTGTAGCTCTGTGAGGGGAAAGAGGGGTCTTCTAACTCTCGGCACCCTTAACACGCCACAAGCCCCAGGATTCTTTGGCGGAAAGCCATGCCTGTTTAAAGTGGCATGATGCCACTTTAAATATACACTGAAGATGGGTTCATGGTCACAACCTTCTCTCCTTACAGTGAGATGCTCTGAATTTCCATTAAGTTATAGCCGTCATTTCTAAATCTGCAGCTATACATACACTTTTATTTTTATTTTTGTTTCTGCTACCTGCTTTATTTGTGATCGTTACCAATTTTATGGTGCTGATTGGTTAATTTTGTCTCACATTTCCATAGTTGACTTCAATTTTTAATATCATTTTTTGCCACCTTGAGACTCTTGACAAATCCCAATATCCCTGTCTTTTCCATCTGTACAATTGAAACGTTGGCAGCCCACATTGCAGAGTGGCTGCCTTGATAAACAAGATAAGCACTGAGAAACGGAGAACATACTAGTTGCCTCAGTTTAGAATGGAATACTCCAATCATTTCAGTTTTCCTTTCCCACCCATTCTGAAACCCATCTGGTCACCACTAACTTTTGGGACAGAAAGATCAGATTTGAGAGAAATAGCATTAAAGTGACTGAATGAAAGCAGAATAGGAGCTTTTACAGACCGGGGATGAGGTGGGGAAAATATACTCCTGATGGATTTAGCTCTTAACCTGTCTAGTTTTTTTTACGATCATACGTTTGGATCTTACTGGTCATACTTTTGGATCCCAGACAAGAGAAAGAAGTGTATTTGTGAGGAATGAAGCACTGGATATGTGAGCCTTTACCTTTCTTCCATGAACATCTTGGGGTAGATGAAAAAGAATGAGTCAGGGAAGGGAAAGTTAGAGCAGAGTTTCTTACCCACTCCAAGCCTCAGTTTTTCACCATCTGTAAAATTGAGCCACATAAGCAAAGAGAATCTACAATGCCAGATGATTTATAATGTATTGTCGTTGAAACATTATTGATGTTTATAATGTCTATGAAGCTAGATAGAATGCACCCTTCTCAATAAGGAATTAGCCATGTCCCATGTCCAACCTATATAACACTGAATTTATTCATGGCTGCCTTGTTATGGGATATGGTAACGTTTCAGAGTTAATGTGTTTTACACCACATCAAACCACAATGGATGTCAAAAAGAAATAGATATTTACAACCATTGGGGGGGGGAGCCTTTGGAGAAAAGGAAGGTGAACTTCAAGCAAAATTACTAAAAAAGAAATACATGTGTTTCTATTTCTGTATTATTATTTGTGTATTTAAAGTGTGTGATTGTGTGTGGGTCAGGTTTCACCTGCTACTGGAAAGTGGACCCCGGTCGCTTTCTACCAGGATAAAAAAAAATGGAGAACAAGTCTGTCAATGGGTATGGAACATGCACACTCAGAAGCAGTCTACCTCTGAATGCCAGCTACTGGAATGCAAACAATAGGGAGGGCTGTTGTCTTCCTGCCCTGCTTGCCAGCATTGGGAATAGGACCCTGTACTAGGCAGGCCTTCGCTCCAATCTAGCCTGGCCATTCTATATTTCTTTGGCTTATTTATTTATTTCATTTATGTCCTGCCTTTCCTCTGAGGAGATCAGAATGGTGGATGCGGTTCTGCCTTCCCAAGTCTGACCTCACAATGCAGCCCCACAATGTTGATTAGGCTGAAAGATAGTGCCCATCACCGCAGTGGCTTTCATGTGTCCTTGCGGATGTGTTTGTTTTCCCACAACACAAGCCAACAGTGGAATAAAATGTGAATAAATGAATGAGCTAACTGAGCAAATATGGACCTATCAAACATCAATGAATGAACAAACCTGTTTTGCAAAAAAACAAAAAAACAACAACAAAAAAACCTCATATAGAAACTGAAAATGGGTTTGTTGGAAAAATACAAACTGTAACAAAAAAACCAAAAAAACCCTTTTCACACAGAGGATGGAAAGTCTCACACAATTCCCTGGTTTGCGAATCCAACTTTTTTCACTTTCATATTTCCATTTCAGAGTTTCAAAGAAGCATAAAGAACTGACCATCAGGATAAAATCTATGAGACGGTGGAAGAAAATATTTTCCATGACTGATCAATGTATTTATTAATTCTTTGCATTTTTATCACAAGTGTGATGTAGTGGTAAGAGTGTTGGATGAGAACTTGGGAGGCTAGGGTTCAAATCCAGTGTTCAAAACTCCCATTGTTCTAGGCGCATTTTGTGACAGGGAATTTCATTAGTGCGAGCAGTTTCTGAGCTCTGAGCGCAGTACTGTGCCTAAGATTTCAGATTGAAACTGCAGATTTGAAGAAAAGAAGGACCCTTTTCTGCCTCCCCACCTCCAGCTAATCTGAAGACTGGAGAAGAGACCCTCTTAAGAATATTAGGGGGGTGGGCAGGGGAAGGACTAGATCCTGTGAAAAACGAACGTAATATTTTAGCTGCAGTTCATTCTTTTTCAGCTTTGTATTCTCGTTATTAAAAAACGTGCTTAGACATTCCATTGTTGCTCCATTAACCTAGGTTTAAGGTGCCATTTAGCTGCTAGCTTCCATATCTCAGTTTCTAACACTGTTCAAATCCCTACTCAATCAGTCACTGTCTCTCAGCTTAGCCTACCTCACAGGGTTGTTGTGGGTATAAAAAGGGAGGAGGAAAACTATGAACACCACCTTGAGGTCCTTTGAGAAAAAAGGTGGGCAATAAATAAATATTGTTTTAAAAAAAATGAAAGGAGGAGTAAATGTATGGTGAAGGCAGAGACATTATTTCAATCCTCCTATATTCCCCCTTAGAATATTCCACCTGTTTTTTTAAAAGGAAAAGTGATGTGTTGCCTTTCCTTCTGCAGGGATAAATATTGTGCAGTCATGATTGTGCTCGTGTTAGGATCAGGGTGGTTATATGCAATCCCTCTTTCAATACTGTCTTTGATTCAGGAGTTGGGGTCGGATATACTGCTTTGCTTCCAGTCAGTGCATGTGCCATAACTTCCTGCTGAATTCCTATAACGTTAATACCACAAATGTTCTGGTTTATTTTTTGTCCCACTTTTGCTGTGCTAGAGCCTCTCCGGACATCAATTATTGTTTGTGTCAAGAATATTTTGCAGAATACACACGTAATAAAACACCAGTCTGAAAGGGCCCACAAAGTAGGGTAAATATTTCAGTGACTATCGTAACAGTGAGATTAAAGAACTAAGCATAACAGTGACTAACAGAACAGTGATTAGTGTTAAAGCAAGAGGATGTGTAGAATTCACACGCGCTCTCCACCTCTCCAACCCGTCCCCCAAATCTGGCAGGACCCGGCAGGAAAAGAGACAAGCACGCAAAAGCTTTTTTCAAAACACAAAACCAAACAGTAGTTTGCTGCCACCACCCCCTTATTTCCAGAACAGTCCCCAAAGAGTAACCCAAGGAAGGAGGTTACTCTTCAGTCTTTACCAGACTACCCCACTCTATGTCACTTTACCGTGACACAGACAGAAATCCAACAGGCTCTGGTAGGTGACTAAGTAGATTAGGCACAGGTTCAGCTTCCCCGGCAGAAAGGCACAAAAGACAAAGGCAGGAAAAAAATCCTTTTTCCAAATTTATTAAAAAGAAAGGGTATTCAAAACATAAAAGTTGGCACATCTCTTACAGATCCCAAACAGAAAATAAAAACATGATTTAATATCACTAACTATACTCTCAACAAGAACAGAAGCACAAGCATAATAGTTTCAAAGAAGTTCTCGGCTGAGGTGGTGTGCCAGGCCAGGTGGGCTGCGAATTGCAAGTTAGTTTCCTAAGGTTTTTTCCCCTTTGAACCCAGGTGGATTCAAAACTTAAAAGCCAATCAGTTCCTTAGATTAATTAGCAATTTGCCAATGGTTACATAGAGGGACAATAACTCAGGCTTCTTAGGAGACTCAACAGCTGAATCCTGTTTATCAAAAGGCCTTGAAGATTAAAGCATCCCCAGAACAAACCAGATTCTTTGAGTTGTAAATTAGCCAGAAAGCCCTCTCACTCTGAATCTGCGTCCCAGAGAGCCAGGTGTCAAGAACCACAAATCAGCCAGAAACTCTTTCTCCTGTAGGAAGGAGATGACCAATTCACACTCTTAAAGACAGAAAGTCTGAAATTAAAGAACCAGATGCACATTCCCAGGATTCTATAGCGTTTGGCTCTCCCATAATGCTCTTCTGCATGAGCCAAAGTTCTAACCTGCTAAGATTTCCCAATATCACTACAGGATGTTATGGGATTTGGACAAGGGTAGGATGCCTCAAAGCTGTCACCATTTTCCAGGAAGGATTCAAGCAAAGAACTGAAAAATATCTACCCCTCACAGAGCTACAATTCCCAACACCCTTCATAACCTACAGTTCCCAGGATACTTTGGGCAGTGAGGTGATGTGCTTTAAGTGTATGGTGTGTACAAAGTCACCCCCTCTCCCAGTCTGCTGGATGCAGAGTATGCCAGCTTTAGAGTTTCACAGAACCCTTCAATGAATGGAATGAAAAAGCAGCCAAACTTCCACTGACCTCTCTCCTCCACTGATCTGTATGGCCCCCTCCTGCTCTCAGTCTCTGTACAATCTTCTGTGTTTCCGTTCCATATGACAGAGAGTTCTGTGGAACCCACCAGCTGGTGCATTCCCCAAAATATGCTGAGGTGCCCCCCCACCTGGCAAAGAGAGAATATTATACCTGCTGCATAATTCAAAATAAAATGGAGCACTTGGGTGCCTGGGAACAAACAGAGTATCAAATTTCATATTTTTGATTCAGGATGCCTTCTCAATTAATGGAGCATGCGCTTCCCCATCTACAAAGGATGAAGACTAGAAAGATCAGTCAACAATGTTTGTTGTGTACAGAAGATCATTGATTGCGTACATGCCCTTTCCCTGCCCCACGTCATCCAAGGATGCCCCCCTCCTTACAAATCCTATCAAACAACTGTTTAGATATTTACAGTAAAATCTATTATTAGTAATAGACCATTAGCAGGGGCTAGAAGAAGAAAAAAAAGACTAGGTTAGCCTGACTACTCAGCTCCCCGCCCACTGTCGTTAAATAAGTAATCATAGTATAACAGAACTATTTCACGAATGCCAGAGGATTGCAGAATAAAGAAACCCTGCTAGGTAAGGGAGGAGGAAGTGAGTAGACTCAACTATTTCCCTAAAGGGAGGAGGGAGAGCCTTGGAGTTTCCAGGTGTGTAAGTAACATCCCTGTTCCCCAGCATATAAATGGGAGACAGGTGTCAAGCTGGAGTCAGTTTACCTATCCCTTGCAACTGACAATCACCCTCCAAGGGAAGCTAAGCCCAAGAGGCAGAGAAAGAGGAGCTCGTGGACAATCCACCTTAAGCATCATCAGCACCTGCTCACTGCCTCTTTCGAATCAGCCGAGATGGTAAGGATGCCACCTCTGCCACCTCCAGGTGCCCGAGGGAAATGCTCAGGGACTCTCTTACAGTTCCACTCTGCTGGAGGAGGGCAAGGGAGAAGAAGCAGCCTTTCAGAAAGGAAATGGGATGGGTTGGATTCAGCGTCAGTCTGGACCTATTTTTCTTTCTTATCTGTTGTGATTTGCTAAAGTGCTTTTATGACTTGCATATGGACAGGGCTGGCAGTCAAACTGCTATCTGAAGAACTTTATTCTTTTATACTCGATCAAATACATGAATGATATCTGTTTTAAAGCGGTGATTCTAAGCACTCTCGCAGCATGTTCCTGTGTCTCGATAGAATGTGTATGTTCCGTTCAAACTGAGATTTACTCACAAGAAAGTGTTGTCTTAAAATCAGAGGATTGTAACATTTAAGCATATGCTGTATTGATTCATTTGTGGCTTATTTCAATATGATAAAGTCTAGTGTGTTGGTAAATGGTCACAAATAACCTTGGACCAAAAAATGTGGATAAGTAAGGTTATAATAGAACATACTCATTCTCCCTTAGTATGGGACAGTGGAAGAGACATCTGAAAAAATAGGAAGGGGGGAGAGAAAGAGAAAGACGGGTGGAAGATCTTGAGGAGAGACTGAAGGGGGAAATCCTGTATATGTCTATTCTGAAGTAAGACCTGCTGAGTTCAATGGGACTTACTCCCAGTGAAGTGTGTATGGGGTTGTAGGATGATAAAATGAAGTGCAGTGAATTCTATGTGTTGTAGCCAATACCGCAGAAGACAGAATCAGGAGTCAAGATAACATTAACAGATTGGAGAACTGGGCCAAAACAAACAAAATGAAATTCAGTAGGGACAAATGTAATGCTACAGGAAGAACCAGCTGTACAAATATAAGATGGGGAACACCTGGACTACTGTACAAGCAAAAAGGATCTAGGGGTCTTAGTAGACCACAGGTTTAACATGAGTCAACAGTGTGATGCAGCAGCAAAAAAAAGAGCTAATGCTGTTCTAAGCTGCATTAACAGAAGTATAGCGTCCCGATCAAGGGAAATAATAGTCCTGCTCTATTCTGCCTTAGTCAGACCTGGAGTACTACTTCCAGTTTAAGAAAAATATTGACAAGCTGGAATGCGTGCCCAGGAGGGTGACCAAGATGATAAAGAAACCAAACATTATGAGGAATGGTTGAGGAAACTGGGTATGTTTAGCCAGCTAAAGAGGAGACTGAGAGGAGATAGCCATCTTCAAATAAAGGGCTGTCACACAGAGGAGGGAGCAAGCTTGCTTTCTCCTGCTCCGAAGGCTAGGACCCAAACAAATAGTTTCAAGTGACAAGAAAGGAGATTCCGACTCAACATCAAGAATAACTTTCTGACAGTAAGAGCTGTTTGACAGTGAAACAGACTCTCAGGAGAGGTGGTGGGCTCTCTTTGCTGGGAAGGTTTTGAGCAGAGGTTGGATGGCCATCTGCCATGTGTGACCTAGTTGAGATTTCTGCATTGCAGGGGGTTGGACTAGATGACCCTCGGGATCCCTTCCAGCTCTACAGTTCCATGATCTATGTGTGTTTACTTAGAGGAAGTTAAGCCTTAAGGTGCTCACTCCAGGAAAGTGTGCTTAGAATTGCAGCTTTAGGTTACTATTTTTTTCTGAACACAGAAAGAAAGTATCTCACAGGCCCAACAGAACATCACACCAAGAAGATAAAGAAGTGTCACATTTGGCTAAAGACATGATTTTAAACATATACATACATATAGCATCACCTGTGCCCATGGTGCTCTGCGGAATATAAAGAAATGGGTCCTTGCCCCAACTAGCTTACAATCTAAAAATTCTACACAAGGGGGGAAACAGAAAAATACTCAAGAGGAAGAATATCTGAAAACTTCAGTTCTCTCTCTGGGCTGGGACATAGGAATATAGGGAGTAGCCTTGTACCGAGTGAGACCCTTGCTCATCTAGCTTGGTATTGTCTACACTGACTGGCAGCAGCTCCCCAGGGCTTCAGACAGGGAGTCTCTCCCAGCCCTACCTGGGATGCTGGGGATTGATGCCTTCTGTGTACAAGGCAGATGCCCTACCATGGAGCTACAGCTCTCTCCCTTCTATTTTAAGTGTACTGTAAGAAAGAAGTTCAAAACTAGTTGAACTAAGGATGTCTCCTAATTAATCCTAGCATGGATGAACAATGTTTTCTCTCCAACCACCATCTTCAATCCCTCTAGTATAGTTATATGCATCTCTTTCTTCCCCTTCCAGCGGTCCCTTTTGCTTGCACTGATTCTCCTTGCCTGGGCAGAGGCCAAGCGACTGGGTGGCCACCACCGACACCACCAGAACTGCTTTGCCGCAGAGGATGTGCAGGAAGGGTACGTGCCCACGCTGTTCCGGAGCAGGGCCACACGGTGGGAACGCCAAGCTCCCGTGCAGCTGGTGCCCTACGTGGAGGGTGAAGAGGCCAGTCCACGGAGGCAGCGGAGGCACCACGAGACCACCTGCCCCGATCTGAAGGTCCAGGGCACTCTGAACAGGGAAATCCACGAGCGCTCCATCTCACCATGGACATACCGGTAAGGGCACAAGACATAAAAAGCAAGGGTGAGCATCTCAGATGGACAGGTGCAGAGGCAGTTTTAGGGTAGCATGACCAGTGCGGCTGCACTGGGCACCACACTGCTGTAGAAAGGAGCGCAAGGTGCAGGGGGGGGTGCCAGATTTTAGTGTCACACAGGGCGCTGCTGAAATTTGAGAGCCCAAAGTCTGCCACTGACAGATGTGAGTGTACTAAACACCACAACCAAACGGTAGTCCCCCAGCCCACATGGCAACTCTTCGACTCTTGCTAGGGTCTGTTCCCAAACACCCCTAATAAGGTGCATCCTATCATTTTAATTTTATAAAGATCTTTATATACCCCTATTTGTGTGTTTTTTTAAAAAATCAGAGCAGTTTACAACAATTATATGTAAGATTTTACAATAAAAATATGAAATGTTATAATGATAAAATCAGAAATCAGCCAGCTGTTAGGGAGATATATATTCTGATTGCCAGAATAAGCCTGACAGAATAGAAATATATTCAGCAGGTGTTTAAAAGTTGAAACAGAAGGTGCATCAAGTTCATACAAGTGAGCCAGAGCTGTAGGAGAAGTCTTAGAGGAAGGAGAAGTCTTAGCAAAAGCGGCTTGTCGTGCAAGGAAAAGAATTTGCAACAAACTATAATTTCCATAATTCCTTGAGGGTGGGAAGATAGAAGTCATGACAGTTAGACAGCTATTAAGGCTATTGTTGTGGCTTTGAGTTCGCCTAGCTCACTCTTCTTTCTCCATTCTTTTTAAACCAGTATTGATGAAGATGAGGACCGCTATCCACGCAAACTGTCCATTGCAGAGTGTCTCTGCAAAGGATGTATTGATGTCAAGACAGGACAAGAGGTGACCTCGCTCAACTCTGTGCCGGTGTTCCAGAACATGATGGTGCTGCGACGCAAGCCGTGCCAACACAACGATGAGGCCGCTGGCTTTACCTTTGAGGTGAAGTACATCGATGTGCCCGTGGCCTGCGCCTGCGTCCTCCCCCGATACAGCAGCTGAGCGGGTGACAGTCTGCGCAACCAATGCTCCTATGGAGCAGTTTCATATGCAGCATGGTCCAAATCTAAATCTGTTTTTCTGAATGCAGCAGCATCACATGTCCCAGTCATTGTGTTTGTTTTAAAGCACTTGTTCATTTCAACTCTAAGGATTATTGTGGTCCTGCCCCTTTGGGAGGAAGGGCGGGGTATCAATGTAATGATGATAACAAAATTGCTGCCCAACAGCTCTGAGTCATCCCTGGAGGTCAGGAAGGGATTTTAATCAGGTTCCCTTATCCCTACTCCCCCTCATAGCCTAGAGCCCCTGGTCCCACCCATCAGATGACAGCCTTGGGACATGTCAGCACTTTTTCACTAGGAGGGAGCAATGGAGAAACTGCAGTCCTAAGAGCAAAAAACAAACAAACAAAAAACCTTTGGCACCTTAAAGATTTTTCTTTTAAAAATGGCAGTAGCTTCCATGGACCACAGTGCACTTCTAATGCCACAAGACTCTTGCATTGCTTTTGCTGTAGCAAACTAACATTGGCTACCCTTTTGCATCCTAAGAATAAGGGGAAAGGCTGTAGCTCAGTGGTAGAGGTGCTTACGGCAACAGTATCTTTTGAAGTCCTCCTCTACCTGTCAGGCAGAATGCGCTGGTGGCTGGTGCCAGTTGAGGCTGGTGAGGCAGCAGGCAGGGAAACCGACAGAAGGTGGTGCCAATGACAGGCAGAGCCACTTTCTGATTGATTGCAAGTAAGTAGGCAGGCAGCGCCCTATTCACCCAAATGGACCAGCAAAATGTGCATTGATGGAAGGGACTGATCCTGGTAGCTCCTCCCCATATGATTGTTTTTGACCTATTTATTTATTCATGTTTGTATTTATATTATTTATGTTTGAAGTTATCAAGTGCTTGTTCTGGTTATTTATTGATTTTGTTCCCTAGTAGCTCTCCAAGGCTTTGCCGAGAATTTACTGAGTCCATATCTGTGATCTCTTGCTGCTGGTGCTGTCTTGAAATGTGTCCCCCACTCCCTAGAAAATCTTTTTTCCCTTTTGAATAGAAGCTTACATTTTCCTGCTTCGTTCTCAGGGCATTTTAGAACTTTTTCTGGGCGTGGGGCTTTGAGCTTACCTTATCCATCTGAGGTGGCTGAGGCCACTACATATTTACTTTCTTACTTACTGGTAAAACATTTCCTCAGCGCTCCTCAGCACCCACCAGCTGCCCACACTTTCTGATCTGAGAAAGCCCCATGGGAGGAGCTACCTCATGAGGTCTTCTCCTGAGCTTTGACTGACATGTTGGCAGCTGGGGTGGCTGCAGAGTGCAGACCATTCCTGAGGTAATTTGTGGAATGAAAGAAAGGAAACTCCCCCTCAGCCACCTCAAAGATTAAGGCAAATGCTTCAAAAACCCAGCACAGGCTGTCAGAATTTCACTGAGCCTTTCTGTCCTCCTTGATAAAACCTCAACTGTGATATCTTTTTTTTCATTAGTTGAGGCATTTTTCAGGACAGCACCAACCCCCAGCACAGCAGGGACAATCTTGGCAAAAGTGTGCCAGCAAACAGCCTGACCAAATATGCCAAACTGCAGCAGGGATCCCATGGCTTGGCTGTCTGTTGCAGCTGATCAGCACAGCCAACCCTGTGGCCTGGTGCGATTGTCAGCTTCAGCTAGGTGCTGGTGTGCAGCATGCTGACCTGCCAATCTCATCATAACAGAAATGGTCGCAATGTCTTCTTGTGGCAGAAATGGGCCTTGTAGGTGGAAGACCCAGCTCAACCCTGTCTTACAGCTGTCTAATTCCAGAGTGCTGAGCATCATACTAAAAAGAGAAGTGGTGCTTGACATTGCTGCGCCAGGCAGTGGCTGGTTTAGTGCAACTGTGTGACATGTCCAGGACTCAAGTCTTTGAGGAACCTTGCTGCGTTCCTTAGCTGGAAGGCGCTGGGTGAGGAGTTTGCTTGGGAGGAAACTCTCAGTAGCTCTGCATTCCTTACTAGTTCAGGAAACCTGCAACAGATCATCAGGGTGAGATGCTTTAGCTGTTGCTACCAAAGTTATTTGGCTTCTCCAGTAAGACCTGTGTGTGCTTAAATATTAAAAATCAATAAATTTCACCATTGCTCTCCCAGGGGTAGCAACCCCTGCGCTCCCTTCCCCAAAGTGCTGCTCTCAGAGATGATGGGAGGCACTGCCTATACATTTCTAACCTTGTGCCAGCAGCCCGTGACTTTTCTCTCTGACAATTGCTGGATGTCACCTCCCACACCAGGTTTCAACATTGCACGGTCTGGCCGTGGGTGTGTGGAACAACAAGTGATGCATACTGTGTGGTTTTGATTCGTTTTTGCTTTTCCAGCCATGGATTGGAACTCTTATTTATTGAATTGCTTCAGGGAGTTCCAATCAATTAATTTATTTTTGGTCTCAATATCTAATGGATAGGTGCTCTTATTTATTTGATGTCTTGTGGTGCTTTTAATTGATATGTTTTTATCTCTAAATATCTAATTATATGTCTAAATTATTAAGTTATTTATGCAAATGTATTTATTGTGACACTAAACAAACAAACAACCCCTGATAGGAGGAGGCATCACCCAGACTGGGATGCAGAAGCTTCCTCCAGTGTGAAATTGTTTAATAAATTGCATTAAAATAAAATGTTATTTCTCTATGAAAGCATTTGGGACTCTTGGCTGTTTTGTTTACAGTGCAGGTCTCTCCTGAGAGATCTGCAGGTCACTACACCCGTCACTGGCCTTGCTTGGCATGTGTTGTCCTGCCCACTTTTGCCATTGGCGTGTGACCCCCCAGAAAGTCACCCAGAAGGACCTTGGAGTGAAAAAGGTCCCCTGCCCCCTGAGCAACACAATCCAGAACACAAGCCATGCTGAGCAAATGGCTTCATACGACCAGGATGTATGTGTGAACCAAGGGGCCTGCTGTAGTGAAAAGCACAATTTTCATAGGGTCATAGGGAATCAGAAACATAAGGAAAGTTCAGAAATAAAACAAAAGGTTCTTCCTCCTCCACCCAGCAGTGGTCAGTCAGGTGTCTCCACACAGCCCCAAGGCAGAGCTTGAAGGCAAGATCCCTCGCCCACTGTTGCTCAACCAGATTGTGGCACTACAAGGTAGACTGCCTATGAAACTGCAAGCTCCACTCGAAGCTGAAGGTTGGAAGATTCAGGGCAGGCAAAAGAAAGGTCAGCTTCAAGCGATACATAGATAAACCGTGTCATTTGCCCCCACAAGAAGCAGTGATGGCCACCAACTTGGATGACTTAAAAAAAAGGATTGGGTGAATAAATCGAGCACAAGGCTATCAATGGTGGCAATGTTCCACCTTCATTCTCAGAGGCAGAAGTGCTTCTGAATACCAGTTGCTGGGAATTGCAAGTGGGGGAATTGCTGTAGCTTGTGGGCTTTCAATAGCCAGCTGGTTGGCCACTCTGAAAACAGGAGGCTGGACCAGACAGGCCTTTGGACTGATCCAACATAGCTCTTTTATGTTCTCTCTCTCTTTTTTTTAATAGTATTTATTAAAGTTTTAAGTTTACAAAAAGACAAAAGAAAAAACACCAAATGGAACAATAACAAAACCAACACATCACAAAAAAAAATAAAAAAAATAGAGACAATTAAAAACAAAAGAAAAAAGAGGGGAAAAACAAATCGAACCTTCCCATAGCTTATCTTTCATTTGCTTGTTTCCCTGACCTCCTCACACCTCCCTTTTTTGTATTCTAAATCAATTATCCATTTCAGCAAATCCTTTCCCTCTCTTCAAAATTTTTATCCTGAAAATTTATCTTGATCTTGATATAAGTTTACTTTCCCTCTTTTCACCAATTAACAGTCTATTTTTCTTAACTTTGATACATTTTTGCTAAAATCACCTAGATTCATTCCAACATCATTCTAACATTCATTAATTTTACAATGTTTCTGTAAATAGTCTTTAAATTTCTTCCAATCTTCCTCCACCGACTCTTCTCTCTGGTCTCGGATTCTGTCAGTCATTTCTGCCAGTTCCATATAGTCTATCACCTTCATCTGCCATTCTTCCAGAGTGGGTAGATCTTGTGTCTTCCAATACTTTGCAATAAGTATTCTTGCTGCTGTTGTGGCGTACATAAAGAAAGTTCTCTCCTTCTTTGGCACCAATTGGCCGACCATGCCCAGGAGAAAGGCCTCTGGTTTCTTCAGAAAGGTATATTTAAATACCTTTTTCATTTCGTTGTAGATCATCTCCCAGAAAGCCTTAATCCTTGGGCATGTCCACCAAAGGTGAAAGAATGTACCTTCCATCTCTTTACATTTCCAGCATTTATTATCAGGCAAGTGATAAATTTTCGCAAGCTTGACTGGTGTCATGTACCACCTGTATATCATTTTCATTATATTCTCTCTTAAGGCATTACATGCCGTGAACTTCATACCTGTGGTCCATAACTGTTCCCAGTCAGCCATCATAATGTTATGTCCGACATCTTGTGCCCATTTAATCATAACAGATTTTACCATTTCATCCTGAGTATTCCATTTCAACAGCAAATTATACATTCTTGACAAATTCTTAGTTTTGGAATCTAACAGTTCTGTTTCCAATTTTGATTTTTCCACCTGGAAGCCAATTTTTTTTTTCCAAATTATATGCCTCCATTATCTGATAATAATGAAGCCAATTTCGCACTCTATTTTTTAATTTTTCAAAACTCTGCAGTTTTAATCTGTCTCCCTCTTGTTCCAAAATTTCCCAATATTTCGGCCATTTAGCCTCCATATTGAGCTTTTTCTGAGCCTTCGCTTCCATTGGTGACAACCACCTTGGGGTTTTATTCTCAAGCAAATCCTTATATCTTATCCAAACATTAAACAGTGCTTTTCTGACAATATGGTTTTTAAACGCTTTATGTGCTTTGACCTTATCATACCACAGATATGCATGCCACCCAAAGACATTATTAAAGCCTTCTAAGTCCAACACATCAGTGTTC